TTTACCCCCCCCCCCCCCCCCCGAGCGCCATTGTGTTCTGCGCGGGGGTGGTTCGCAGGGGTGCGGGGACGACCACGCTTCGCTCCTGGCGGTGTGGCGGGGGGGGGGGGGCTGCCCTTCTCCATTTCGACTGCTCGAGTTCGCGAAGGCACTGGCGAATCCCGCTCCTCGCGGCGGGAAGCACGAAGTTGAAAAATGTATGGCCAGACGGGATGCGTGAGGACAGACAACGGACGGGGCCTACCAGCGGCAGAAGCGTGTGTGCTTCATCCTTGCGACTGGCCATGCCTGCCAGCGACCGATGGCCAGGCGCAGCCCGGGCCTTGCATGAACAGTCCGGGCTTCGGCAAGCGGCGTGCCTCCGTCTGAGGTATCAGATGCAGCAGGCGCACTACGAGGAGCAAGCGAGGACATGGTTGCCAGACATCGAGAGGGTGCCCTTAGTTCCCATCCTTGACGCTGCGCATCTTCCCAACTGCGCATCCAGGTAGTGGCAATATTGGTTCTCTTGGGGCCGTCCTGGAAGCCATCGGCAACATCATGGGGGGTCGTCGGTTAACATCATCACCCTAAGCAAAGCGCCCATATGACGAGCGTCGTGCTGTTGACAAGACATAAGTTGCTGCCTTTGGATTGGATCCGGCTTGACGTGCGACCCCCCCACGTCCAGGCACGCGAAGGACGGCGGCCGCGTACGCGCTCGTATGGTGACGTCAGTGCTGGCACCATGTAGGTGTCGCCACGTAGAACAGGAATCCCCAGTAGCCGCTCGGCGCGCACAACTTGGACGTCCGATTGAACATGAGGTTTTCGGTTCGGGCCGAACGAAAGGGGGGGATAGGGAAAGGGGGGGGTCTACGAAATCTGCTGCATGCAGCTGGTTTCGGCCCCGCCGCCGGGCCCATTCCTCGATACGTGGGCGCCCCCCGACGCCGGGAGGCGCTGGGAAAATCAGCTACGTGAGCTGATTCTCTGCCCTACCCTTTCTTGGTATCGCTCGGACGTATGCTTTTTTTCGGCGGGGATTATTACGGAGCATCCTTGATCATTTGGCGGAAAAACCACGCACGAAACCAAAAACAAAGGGAATGGACGTCCGAGCGATGGCGAGCTTTCCTATCCCCCCTTTCGTCGCCCCCCCGAATAGCGTCACGCGTGCCATGCGCGTGTGCGCCCGTGCGGCGGGATGCAGACGGGGCGGCGAGGAGGGAGCCCCGTTCGTTTGGGAGGGGCTCCGTGTTCCGCAGTTGTCTTACAGTTTGCCTTAGGTGTTCCTTCGGTTTTCGATGGGACAAAAGTGCAAGTGCCTCGTCTCTCGTTGTGTTATATATAAACAAAAAACAAACCACAAAGGTGGAAAAAACGACGTTTAAAACATAAAGGTGACTCGATTCTCGTGGATAAAGGGGACAAGCAACTATCGACGCTTAACTTGTGGGAAAAGAAAGTGCTTCGTTCCTGATTTATCGTTTCTTAGGTCAGCGCCCCAGCTGTCGGTGTTGTCAATGTGGAGCAGTCATCATGGTGCACCAGGGGCCGCGCTGTCCCAGTGTCCGGGAAGGCACGGGAGGGCGCCGCCGCACGAGCGCGCGCTCGCGGCTGCCGCGTGTCACCCGCGTTCGCGGCGGCGCGCGTACGCGTGCGCACACGGGCCAGCATTGCGAGAAGTCCCCACACTGAGTGGAGAACCAAACCCAGACCCCTTGCGCCGTGAACAAAAATCACGACGGGAAGATTTTCACTATTTTCGGTCTCCGGGGGCCCCAACCGGGCCTCGGGACCTTCAAAAAACGACTAACGATAAAAAGCCGGTCCCAGGGAACGGGTCCACACCTTTCGGGGTCGACGGTGTGACAAAATCGCGACGTCGGGGGTCTTGGAATTTGAACCTCTTAGAGGCTCTTATTGCCGTTCCATGCTATGAGGCTTCCCCCGGCTCGAAGGCGGGCCGACCATACGTACAGGTGGCCGCCGTCACATCGGGCAACGAGTCGGGCAGCTCGCGCCTGCGTCGCGGTCGCATCCCGGGCGACCCTGCGATAAAGCAGGGTCCTTCTGTTGTAAGCATACGTGCGTCTTCGCTGCTCCCTGAGAGCGCACAGCTTTCACCTCCATCTTGCCAAGAGACTGCCCGCGTGGCCGTTATCGTTGCCTGTCTCCGCTTGTCAAGTGCACCAAGCGCGGACTCATTTGCGCATATCTTTTGGATAGGCCAGCACGCACATGCTGCCATGTCGAGTGAGAATCTCGAGTAGGCCCTTAGCGAATCTCACGCTTACCATCAGCTTGTCATTTGTTCCTTTGCGAGATTGTTTTGCTCGTTGACCCCCCTCGCAACGATCAAGATAGTACGGGGAGGGTGTGGTGCAGACAGGCACGGTGAGTCGCCTTCCTCACGGGCATGGTGTGGTGCAGAAGCACGGGGGAGCCTCCAGACGCCTCCAGAGACAGCCGTCGTCGTCGTCGTCGTCGTCGACTATTCATTTCTAGGGAATAATTATTGTTGATCTCCAGAAACAGTTCCGCGCGCTCTCGCCTCGACGCTGGCTTAATTTTCTCTGAAAACGAGGCTGCCGCGCGAGCGTTGACTTGAGTGCACACGTGTGCCTCGTGAGGCCCGGCTACAACGGCAACGGCTCCCGCTCGATACTTCCGTACAATTTACCCTGAGACACGCTGGCCAGAGAGGCCCCCGAACTCAGGAACGGTGCTCTCGCTCGAGACTTCCTCGCAAGTCAGTCAAGTTGGCGGAGGCCCAGCCACGACGACAAGGGCTCCTGCTCGATATTTCCTTACGATTTACATCGAGAGCCCCTGGCCAGGAAGGCCTCTGGACTTAGGAACGGCGCCTTCGCTCGAGACTTCCTCGTGATTCAGTCCAAATGCTGGACGCCCAAGTACGATGACAAGGGCTCTCGTTCGATAGTTCCTCAAGATGTATTCGCAGATGCCCTTGCCAGAGAGGCCCACAAACTCAAGCGTGGCGCTCTCGCTCGAGACCTTCTCGTAATTCAGGCAAGTTAGTGGAGGCCCAGACACCGCGACGAGGGTTCGCCTTCGATATTTCTCAATATGTATTCCGAGAGCCCCTGGCCAGAGGGGCCCCCCCGAAATCAGAAACGGTGTTCTCGCTCAAGAGTTCTTCGCATTTCAGTCAGTGGCCGGAAAACAAGTGGCACGTGTGCCATGGCTCTTGCACAAAAAGGAAGGGGGGAGGAGGAGGATGTGGAGGAGGAGGGGGGGGGGGGGAGGATGCCAGACATCGCAGAAGGAGTGAACAAAACAGGGCCGCAAGAGGGGCTCCAGAGGGCGAGCGCGAGGAGACTCCAAGGGCCGTCCCCCGCAAGATGGCTTCAAAGACTTTTGACGGGTTCCCAGGAAGCCTCCAACTGACGCCCGAGAAGCCTACAGAGGGTTCCAAGGGGAGGCCTCCAGGGTCCAAGGAGGGCTGGAAGAAATTACTGAGCGGACTCAGCTGCTCGGGGCTCGCGGTGCAAAGTGCGCGGCGGCCTTGCGTTGCGAACGCTTGTCCAAGGCAGTCGCTTTGCACGCAGAGTCTGTCGGGTGCATTCTCGGGGGCCGGCTATGCGCCACTTGAATGGGGGCCTCCCCCACAGACCAGACTTTCGGCCCTGGGCGCAGGGGGTGCTGGGCGGGCGCTGGAGCCGCGGGGGCGCTGAGACGGCGCGGGGGAGGGGGCGGAG